AAAATAAATCGCGACGTCAGCGTCTATTAGAATTGGTGCTGAGATTCAACATCTCGACGCCCCTGATTTTGGCGCTAACCTCCGTTCGAGGTGGCATGTATTAGCCACATCATCAAGGGTCAGCGTCATTCTTATTAGCGCTGACCTCTGCAAGGGTAAAAGACTGTAATGGAGATTCCTACTTTGAATGTACTATTAGTGTAGTAGCTCCTGTGATTTTTTGCACTTGGTCTTGGATTCGAAGCCTTTAGCATGCATATTTTTTGAGCATATAACGGTTAGTAGGGAAAAATGTAAAAAAGACGTTACATGCATGGGTTTAAACATTGGACCTTTCCTTTGAAGGAAACAACCTCAACCACTAAGCTATCACACCTTCTCAGTTGGATAAAGAGAGGTTAAACTTTTCATTGCAAATTCATTGACCAACGACAATTGCGTATCTTACTCTGCATATTGTGGGCATTGCATGTCAATCTCGGGAATAAGGGTCTGTTTGGATGCTACCCTGAGAAGGATCAGCCTGGCCTGAGATATGCCAGAGAAAAACTGGAATGTGTTTGGTTGATGCCCTGAGACATTTGTCTACTGCCTGACCTGAGCCGTCCGGCACCGTGGTTAGCCTGGCTCAGGCGACCGAAAAAGGAGGCCTGACCTCCAGGCGTGAGCTAAGAATGTGATTAGCGAGTAGCACGTGTCCTGTCCGCAGGTAGTCAGAGCTTTGAATGGCTTGGAAGCCATGTTTGACTTGTCGATGTGACAGTACCTGCAAAGGATGCATGCATAACTGCTAATTAAGTGGATTAGCTATATTATAACAAAATGTCAGTGCTAATTAAGCACGGTTTTGCTTAATCTGTTTTCCTCAGCCGTAGAACTCCAACCATACAAGAAAAGCACAGGCACGCCTCATCAGGCAACTTTATTCTTTGATTTTCTTCCACCCAGGCACGCTTTTTTCTCAGGCATATCACTCAGGTTACCAACCAAACAGCCCCTAAGTATGATGGGTGCGGTGGGAGGCTCCCATCTCTACGCTGCTATAGGTTATCCACTCGTGATCTTTTCTGCGGCTGGATATGCTGGATGCAATCCGCAGTGCGCTGGATGCCTCGTCGAGTCACCGGGTAGGACTCAGGGTTCAATATTCCGGAATGAAATTTTGAAAAATTCAGTCATTTCGGACCCCCTAATTTGATATTATTTTGGTCTAAATTTTTATTTTTTTAAATTTGGTAATATTTTGTTCAAATTTGATCAATATTTGTTTAAAATTTCGGTATATCGGTGACCTCCGATACAATCAGGCAAATAAAAAAAAAACCTGGTAGGACTTAGGAGGAAGAAGAAAGGAGATGGCATACGGCAGGAGAAAGAAGAAAGGGGATGAAAGAGACTTGCTGCTAAGAGATTCGTGTGGAGAAGCGAAATCTTTCAGACGAGCGTAGGAGTTAGGACGGCCCACTAGTATAGAGCCTTCCATATGTAACGACCTCTAACATGCTTGGAATTAGCGGCCATCACAAGGAAGTGATCTCAATCGGACCAAAAAAACGCCCGATTGAGATACTCCATGACGGGCATCAACTTGGGGCCTGATTGAGATATGGAATGTTATCTCAATCGGGCCTAAACTATGGCCCGTCACTGATATGTGTCATCCGTGACGAGCCTTAGCTTTATGCCCATCTAACATGTCTGTGCGACCATATCTCAACAACTAGGCCCGTCACAGATGACTCATTCGTGGCGGGCTCTATACTAATGCCCGATTGAGATGACTTAGTATTTTTCCATTTTTCATATGAAATATTTATATTTGTGAGTTGACATGTAGCAAAATAATTAACTGTAGTGTAATAATTTATTTTATTAGTCAAAATATTTTTTCGGGTAGTAAATGATTTCTAATGGAAAAATTGTCAACAACAAAGTTGTATAACTTATCAATATTTAATTTTTTTATTTTGGTCATTTTTCTATATAACCTTTTTTTTGAACAGTTTGAATTTGAATTTGAAAATATAACAACTTCAAACAATATTTTCAAATAATAAATGATTTCAAATGGAAAACTCATCAACAACAAAATTGTATAACTCATCAAGATCTATAACTTTTATTTTGGTCATTTTTCTACATAACTTTTTTGAACAGTTTGAATTTGAATTTAAAAATATGACAACTTCAAAACAATATTTTCAAATATTTAATGATTTCAACTGAAAAAGTCATCAACAACGAAGTTGTATAACTCATCAAGATCTATAACTTTTATTTTGATCATTTTTCTATATAACTTTTTTTTGAACAGTTTCAATTTGAATTTGAAAATATGATAACTTCAAACAAAATTTTCAAATACTAAAAGATTTCAACTAAAAAAGTCATCAACAACAAAGTTGTATAACTCATCAAGATCTATAACTTTTATTTTTGTTATTTCTTCAATTGACAAAGTGTTAATAACATTGTTCACAAAATTGACATATCTGTGTTATAGTTTATAAAACCAAATGAGAGGTATGTGAATTTTATGAACAATGTTACTATCACTTTGTCGGATGAAGAAATAACCAAAATAAAAGTTATAGATCTTGATGAGTTATACAACTTTGTTGTTCATGACTTTTTCAGTTAAAATCATTTAGTATTTGAAATTGTTATTTGAAGTTGTTATATTTTCAAATTTAAATTCAAACTGTTCAATAAATGTTATATAGAGAAATGACCAAAATAAAAGTTGTAAATCTTGATAAGTTATACAACTTTGTTCTTGATAACTTTTCTATTTGAAATCATTTAGTATTGGAAAATATTGTTTGAAGTTGTCATATTTTCAAATTCAAATTAAAACTGTTCAAAAAATGTTATATAGAAAAATGACCAAAAAAAAGTTATAGATCTTGATGAGTTATACAACTTTGTTGTTGACAATTTTTCCATTTGAAATCATTTAGGACCCGAAAAACTATTTGATTTTCTTATATTTTAAAATCTAGATTTTATATAGTTCAATCAAACCCGGATGGAGAAATGAGCAAAATAAAATTGGTAGATCTCAATGAGTTCTACAACTTTGTTTTTGACAGTTTTTTCATATGAGTTCATTTAGTATCATAAAATTTAATTCGAAATTTATTTTTGCCTAGAAGTCTGATTTACCTCCTCATCATGTTAATATTTGCTATATATATACATTTGATCCAATTAACTCGGTTTTGCTGGTGAAATATGTGAATGGATGTGAAATATGTGATCAAAATAGATGTTATGTGAATGTGGTCGTGTTAAATATATTGATGGTTGTGTATGTGAATGAATGTACAACTTCTTTGATTCTAAAAAACTCTGAGGTTAAGCGTGCTTAGGGTGGAGCAATTTCAGGATGGGTGACCGATCGGAAAATTCTTTCCGGGTGTAGAAAAGACCGACCCGCGGACGTGCCTAGCAAAGGCATGAGGCGGGTGTAGAAAAGACCGACCCGCGGACTTGCCTAGCAAAGGCATGAGGCTAACCAAAAATTTCTTTTCAGGTGTAGAAAAGACCGGCCCGCGGGCGTGCCTAGCAAAGGCATGAGGCTAACCAAAAATTTCTTTTCGGGTGTAGAAAAGACCGGCCCGCGGGCGTGCCTAGCAAAGGCATGAGGCTAACCAAAAACAAAATTTATTTTTTTCTGGATTATACTCATCCGTGACGGGCTATAGTTTAGGCCCGATTGAGATGACAGTCATCCGTGACGGGCTATAGTTTGGGCCCATTAGAGATGAGAGTTATTTGTGACGGGCTATAGTGTTGGCCCGATTGAGATGTGTGTCATCCGTGACGGCCGGATGCCCGATTGAGATATTTTCTCACATCAGTGACCTTTGCTTTGTGATGGGGGCGCTACCCGATAAAGATAAGGCTTTAGGCCCGCTACAGATGACCGGACCTGTTCTAGTGGCCGTCCTACCAAATTTTCTTCCGTAGAATTGACCAATGAGACGGTCACAATGTCATGAGTGAGTGCAACGGTTGCACATAATCTGCTAATAGATACATAGCACATCCATTGATACTAGGGAACAAATTTGCTCAATCAAGATGTTCAGTAGGCTTCACTGTCTCACTAGGCCTTTTTATAGCTAGATATAGTCAGCACCGGTCCTTCACTCACTCTCGATATCATCTCATTTCAAATTATTTGTAATCAATTTGGTATCCAAGTAATACTGTAAATTTCCCAAGAATATGATAATTAATTCGCATACATCTTTTTTCCTTTTAGGAAAAGGCAGGAGCTCTGCCGTTCATTATAGAAGAAGCAAGCAAAAACCAAAATAACAAAGTCTTTTACAACAGAGGAACCAAGTTTCCCCAAGGTTAATTCGCATACATCCATCTTTTTTTTTTTCGGGAACCGCATACATCCATCTTATATATAATAATCATTGGATGTCAAAAACAAATAAAAATCTCCCAAATTAGTACATCCAACAGCTAGAGCAATCAATGCATTACAAAACGCACGCACGCATGGATGAACCACACGAAACAACACATCGCATGCATGCGCCGCGATGCGTCGATCATCCGCACATTATATGGGGATCTCGATCGCATCGCGTGGCGGCGAGCGGCGGCGATCGAGAGATCGATGGAGGTGACATTGGAGACGGTAGCGGGGCGGTGGTTCACGGTGGAGATCTGGTTCTTCTCGACACAATGTGATGATTGAGTGCAACGGTTGCACACAATCTGCTAATAGATAGATAGCACATCCATTGATACTAGGGAACAAATTTGCTCAATAAAGATGTCAGTGGGCTTCACTGTTTCACTTGGCCTTTTTATAGCTAGATATAGTCAGCACTCATCATTCACTCACTCTCGATATCTTCCCATTTCAAATTATTTGTAATCAATTTTGGTATCCAAGTAATACTGTAAATCTCCCAAGAATATGATCAATTAATTCGCAATACATCCATCTTATATATAATAATCAATTTATTGGATGTCAAAAACAAATAAAAATCTCCCAAATTAGTACATCCAACCCAGCTAGAGCAATCAATGCATTACAAAACACACACACGCACGCATGGATGAACCACACGAAACAGCACATCGCATGCATGCGCCGGCGATGCATCGATCATCTGCACATTATATGGGGATCTCGATCGCATCGTGCGGCGGCGATCGAGAGATCAATGGAGGTGACGTTGGAGACGGTGGCGGGGCGGCGGTTCACGGTGGAGATCTGGTTCTTCTCGACGGTGCGGCGGATCAAGGAGTACGTGCTGCGGCAGGAGGGCATCCCCGTGGAGTCGCAGCGCCTCTTCTTCGCCGGCGCCGAGCTGGACGACGACGGCGACACGGAGCGCTACTCCATCCTCCAGGGCTCCACCGTGCTCCTCCTCCTCCCCGAGGACGGCGCCGCTCCGCCGTCATCCGGTGGCGGAGGCGGCGGCGGCGGAGGGACGAAGGCGATGGTGCGGGTGGTCGTGAACGCGCCCGCCGCGCTCGCGGGGAAGGGCGGCGCGGTGACCGTGGAGGTCGACGCGGCGGCGTGCACCGTGGCGGGGCTGAAGGAGCGGGTGCAGGAGGGGACCGACGGCGCGCTGCCGGCGGCGAGGGTGGCGCTGATGTTCGGGAAGGTGGAGATGGAGGACGGCAGGGCGGTGGCGGAGTACGTGCCGCCGGGCGCGGCGGCGGACGGGACGGCGACGGTGGTGGTGTCCGCGGTCGTGCGTCCTCCGCCGCCGCCGACGCCTACGCCGCAGCCGCCGCAGCAGCCGCGGGTGACGGTGAACGTGAAGTGGGGAGCGAAGGCGGCGGCGGTGGAGGTGAGCGACATGCTGGCGGTGAAGGACCTGCGCGCGGAGCTCGGCGGCGCGGCGGCGCACCTGCCGCTGCCCAAGGACGGCGGCTACTTCTTCATCTACAAGCAGAACGTGATGGAGGAGGACCGCACGCTGCGGTGGCACGACGTCAAGAACGGCGACACCATCGAGATCTTCAACGGCAGGGTCACCGGCGGCGCCTGATCACGAACCCAATCAATCCAATGGATTTCCATCCTTGTAAAATTCCTTTTTCGTGTAAACAAATTCGGTAAAATTTCGTTGGGACGCGTTCAAAACTTCAAATAACAAAATTAATGAGAGAAGAGAAGAGTTAATCCAGTGTAGTATGTTGAGCGAATGTCAGGTCGACGGCGAGGTCGTCATGGTCGCCGTCGAGGAGTAGCGCCGGCGAGCGGCGATGACGAAATGGGAGGCGGGGTTTAGGGTTTCCGGCGGGGAGGGAAAGGTCTGGTATTTTTCTGGACTATCACGTGGACTGATTTGGGTCGTTCGATTCAGATGGAGGGTCGAGATATGAGCTCTTTGCCGCAGTAGTAGCAGACTCGTTTTGGTTTGGGCTGGCTGCTGGGCCAGGCCGCAGCTTGACCCGCATCGAGGTCCAAATCCAATCACCCAATCCATTCGTCGCCGCCGCCGCCGCCGCCCCCGCCCAATCTCTTCGCCTCCAATCTCCACCACATGGCCGCAGCCATGGCCGCGGCGGTCGCCGCCCGGCTTCCTCCGGCCGCCGCTCGCCGGGCACGTCTTGAAGCCACCACCCCGAGCTCTCCCTTCGCAGTCGCAGCTCCCCGCCGTGTCATGGCGCCGACGCGCCGCCCGCGACTGGGTACGCGCCTCGTCGTGGTTTCCGCGCAGTCCAACTTCTCCAGAGGTCGCTCCCCTTTCCCTCTCCTCCTCCTCTTCTCCCTGATCATCTTTTCTGCAGTGATTTTGCTCCTGTTGCATCTAGTACGAACTTTGTTTTAACCAAATCGGCTAGTCTTTAGGATAAACCAAATCTTGGTCTTGTCGCATCCCGTTCGGATTTCGGAATGCGTTGTTGCAAGCTCGTAGGACTTGGTTGCGTGCCATCAGAGGCATCGCGTGAATGGATGCCGCCAGATTTTTCTTTGCTTCTATAGAGCATGGGTGTCATTGCTAGTCACCAGCATTATGAATGCTTTGTATTGAATTTGGAAAATTGGACACTTTTACCTTCTCTGAATGTTGCCTGAATTTCAAACATAAATAAGATAAACCTTGATGTTGTTATTACTGTTGTGCAATATATGCATCATTTTTAGCTCTCCAACGAAACTGTCACTGTGCGTGTACAAGGATACTATGATGAATACAAAGAAAAAATGGGATGAGAACCCTCAATCCATCATTGGGACCTTTGCGCAGCACTAGAGACAGCACACCACATTACACTTAGGTGTCAGACCTGCTACAGGCTTATGGGATATGCTTGGACTGCTCTATCTTGCAAATGGATCAACATCACCCTTAGTTTTTAGAAGAAGTAATCAGAAGTAATCATAACAATGGTAAAATCAAGCCAATTTGGTTTGCAGCCTGCACACATACTCTTTGCAAATCAATTAGATTCCCTAAAGGCAAAACCTGCAGCTTCCTAACATAGTAACATTAAGCTACAGATATGCGTGGCTCTTGATATTTGGAGCCACCATGCCAATCCTAATACCAAACTGAAGATCAATGCTTGGTGTGAGTAGCTAAGATAATTTCACCTCTACAGTTTGTATTGTAATTTATTGTCAGTGTTGTACTTTAATTCGTTTCTACTCTCTTGTGTATTCCCCCACCCCTCTTTCTGTATTTTTATTCCTTTTCCCTCTACCCTCACTACAATCCTGTATTTCACCATGTCCATTAATGAAATGGCTATAACTATGAGGTAGAGCATCCTCTACCTTTTAACATAAAAAAAAAAATCCTCAGGTTGTATATAGTAATAGCATTGCGACTCTGTTACTTTTTTGTGAATAGAAAAATATATATGCTCATCCTCTAATTGGTTAATGCATATTTTTTTAAAGGAGTATCATGAATCATTATTTTTTTCATGGTGTGATCATGATAATGGTCTTGGCACTCTCTAACACTTTGCATATCACAACAGTTGTTCAAACAGCATGGAAGGTTGGTAGGGATGCTGTTGAGGCAGGAACTACTCTAGTCCCAGTATGTGCTGCTTAACTCATCAAATTATGTGTATCTCTCTTTTGTTATATAGGAGTATACACTAATCATAAGCATTATTAAGTTCAGTAAACATTGAAAATGTGCTAATTTTTTCATTCAATATGTGACAGGGTTCGGTTCCACGGCCAGTTGCCAGGATAGGTGTTACCTTTGTTGCTTTGTCCATTGCCCTTTTTCTTCTCAAGTCTGTTGTCTCCACCGCATTCTTCGTATTGGTATGTGACTGTGGCATACTACTATCTTTGATCAACAATGTGTTCTACGGAATGTTTAGCAATACTATAGGCATGCTTTAGTTGAGAACTGCAAACATGCCCAATAGTTTCTACAATTGGAATGTTTATTGTCAAAATTCACTTTTATCCATCTTTATGATTGTAGTTTAAATTATGCATGATGTAAGATGATTTTTCTCATGATAACAGGCAATGATGGGGCTTATATACTTGGGTTTCCTGGCTATGAACCCAAAGGAGGGCTCTAGGGTGGATGAAGGAGCCAATTCATCTGAAGACCCTGTGGAAGAAGCCCGGCGCATAATGGAGAAATACAAATAAATAATCTCGGTATGTTAAAACAACTACTGCATTCGCCACTTGGAATATATAGCTTGGTCTCTTGAGCCATCAATATGTTCATAGGGTGCTCATTATGCAAAGAAAGAATAGGTGTGATTTTGGCTCGAGAGTTGAACTGTGGACATGTATAGCAAGAGAGCTGGTGTACAATATCACAGTAGTAATTTGATTCCGCATCAGTCTATTGAGTTGTTGTACAGTTGTATTCGGTTCAACTCAGGGTGCCATTTGAGCTTACTTTAGAAATGATAATTGAATTACTCAACAGAAAATTGTAGGCACAAATTGCCTGGTGTATCAGTAATTCGACATTTGCTGGGATATTGATTAAGAATCGATCAAATCGTCGCAGCTCTTCCCCCAGGCTGGAGATCGTGTACACAGCTTTGCATCAACATTTTCCATTTTCCTCAGACAGACCTTAAAAATTATCAGTTGTCAGAAGTGGCGGAACTACGTTCCTGCATAATTGTTCCTTCTTTCCATATTAAACAGACTGTCATTTAGAGTAGATAATACTAACAAATTACAGCCACAAAAATAAAACATTATCAAACAATTTCTAGCTCTAGACAGAGCGATTTGACCCAGGACTTGATTTTACACACCTCAATTCTTCACTGTCTAAAACACACTCTAAACTATAAAACCGGGCATTTTACACCCCCTAAACTATCAAACCATTTAATATACCCCCTAAACCAAATCAGAGAGGTATTTAGCTTACATGACATCTATGTGCGTGTGTCATTCTGAGTCAGCAAAATTATTAAAAAATAATAATGACCACACATGCCATTGAGACCCTTTTACTCTTCTCTCACCATGTTTTCCCCGCTTCTTCAGATCTGGAGCGCGTAGCAGCCAGTGGTCGGCGAGCTTGCTCCACCCACGACTGCCTCCATACACCGGCGAGTCCCTCCCCCTCCAAGCACCAGCTTTGCCACCACCTCCCCGAGCACCCTATTCTCCATGCGCCGGAGAGCTCGAGCTCCTGTTCACTGACGCATCCTTGAGCACCTCCTTAATATTTTTATTTTATTTTTAAAATAATTCTTTAAATGATATTAATTCATAACCATTGTTCTTTAATAAATATTATTTGAATTTTATAATTGAATTTAGAACTTGAATTTAATTCCTTTTTAGATTATTGTGGCACTGAAAAAAAATTAAAATATAATAAATATCAGCATGCATGAGGAAATTTTGAAAAAGATTTTTAATTATTCCAAATTTTTGTTTCCGTACTTTAGATTTGCACATATGCGATCACTGATGAACCAGTAGGAAACAGGATCGGAAACATTCGCAACTTAATGGAAACAAATATAATCAATATCCTCAAACTGAATAAGGAAAATAATATTATACATAACGATTTGATATTAATTGTCATTAACAAATGGTAAATTATCACACCAACAAGATATGGTTGGCGTATATGAAAGCATCTCTATAAGTAGTAATCCTGAATCATCCACCTCTTGATGATCGCATCCATATATCCACCATTAAATCACGGCCGAGATCGATCGAGACGATGGACGTGACGTTCCAGATGTGGGCGGGAGGGGCGCTCCTGGGTGCTAGGAAAGGACGATCGTTCACGGCGGAGATCGGGTCCACGTCGTCGTTGCAGCGGATGAAGACAGCCGTGATGAATCAGGAAGGCTTCCCCGTGCAGCACCAGCGGCCCTTCTTCGGCGGCGTCGAGATGCAGGAGAAGGGCGACGACACTACCAGGGAATACTCCATCGTGAAGGGCTCCACCATCGACCTCCTCATACCGTACCGCTACCGTGGCGCCGCCGCCGATCGCTGATTAATTAATTAGCTAAGGCAGCGGACGTGGATGGCCGTAGTAAAATGGAGGTTATAGTTAATGTTGCTGGTTAATTAGGGCATCAAGAAGTACGCTGCATATGCAATATAATAATGCATTTGCATGCATAAATAAATTGGTATGATTTTGTTCCAATTGTTACGTAAGGCAGAGGCAGTAGTGGATCAATCCTAAAATAACACGAAGCGCCTACAAATGAGGCGCCTAATTTTCACGCTGTTTTACCGAGTAGATCGAACATGTTTTACCGAGTAGTGGATCAAAAATGTTTCGATCTTATAAAAAGCTGAAAGATAATCAAATCACCTCATGAAATATTTTGCTACAACGTATGAAACAACGGTTTCTAAAAAATGGGCTTTGTTTCATCCTATATAAAAATAATGTTTCAACAAATAGCAAAAGAATATTTCAACTCTTAAAAAAATTGAAACACAGTAAGATTACTAAATGAAACAATTTGGTTCAACGTATGAAACAAACGATTTAAAGCCATTGCAACACTTATAACCTCGTGTACATCAATAAACCACGTGTCCATTAAAATAAAATTATGAAACAATATCAAAATCCACTACAACATTTCATCCATACATATTGAAATATCATGAGTACACTAGCTGAAACATTGTTGGTGGAAAAAAATGGATTCCCCTAATAATGCGTTTCCTTAATATGTTAGGGATTTATTACAACGGGACGCTAATGGTGGGGACGGCTGGAAGGCGGAGGCGCGCGTGGGGGGCACCAGATTTTTTTGCGCCGCATCGGGCGTCCGATCCCAACATTTTCAAAAATAACGTCAATCTATAACTGCAGGTTTATTATATTTTGCATACATGCGTAGGGTTTACAAGTGGTATATATATATATATATATATATATATATATATATATATATATATATATATATATATATACCATTATATCCATAGCTGGTTTGCTAGCATAGGTACCACGGATCACGTTGATCTATCAAAGATGATCATGTCTGACAAGTATGTCCGGATCTGAAGTACTCCCTTCATCCCAAAATATAAGGCATAACCACTCATAACATAAAGACTAAGAAAACATTTAATTACCTTCTTGGTTAGATCATCTTGATGCATACAAGCAATGTGATTGGAAGGTTTGATGATATAAGATTTAAAACAAATTAATTTTATAGGACCAAAAGATGCTAATTAATGTATGCATGTATGCATGTCTTATATTATATTATAAGATATGAGATAAAAGTGGTTGTGCCTTATATTTGGGATGGAGAGAGTAGTGCGTTTCTACAAGGTAAATGGTGAGGGAAGAAAAAAAGGGAGACGATGGCTATGCCCTTTCAGTACTACAACTCCGCTGAATGTTTAATTGATCTCTCGTCAGGTCAGGACACTCCTCGTCGCCGCCGCAGTTTTAATTTGCCCCCATATCCGGTGAGGACGACGACCAGCCGCAGGCGGCGCAGCGGTCGTGCTTGGAGTCGAGGAACTGCATAGCACCGTCTTGCCACGATCGTCCCCGTCACCCGGACCAAAGTATAATCCAACAACAAAGATTGTTTGGGAGTATTGTATTTGATTTGAGCTGCTGTTAGTTGCAGATGTTTGGTTCAATAAAAGAAATATACTCTCTCCGTTTCACAATATAAGTCATTTACATCAATATAAATGTGAGAAATGCTAGAATGACTTATATTGTAAAACGGAGGAAGTATATCTTTTATTTTTATTTTTAGATGGAAGAAGTACATCTGTTTAATTTGTTAAGCATTTTGAAAGGGTATTGTTTTACCCGAGTAGGTTTAGATAAATCCTAGTTTTAACCTTTGACTGATTTATTGATATAACGAATTGATTGACAAATTTATAGTTTTTTTTTGAAATCATAGGGGATAACTCTGAAGGCACGTTTCTATGTTCTTACACAATTAAACTGCCATATTTAAATTTTAGGTGTGTGACATTTTACACCAAAATTACACCGTTAACTGTGAATTTTGGCAATTGCCGTTGGTCATGATCAGGTCAAATGGGGAACTAATGCCATAATTATAGTTGATTCCGTTGAAAAGTGTACTAGAGTTTAGAGTTTTTTTTTTCGAACTTCCATAATAAGGAAGATTTGTTTTAAGTTTTCTTTTTCTATAGATAGTGTTTTGAGCCGATCAGGTCGTGCTGGAATCGGAATCAGTTAATTTCCTTTTTCTGCAAGTTAGCCGATTGAGTAATATCTGAGTCGGACTTTTTCCAAACCAAGGCTATAAATATGTATACCTGGGTTCCTTGTAATCAAACAATAATTCAATATACAAGTTTTGGCGCATCGCTAGCCCTATTAAAGTTTCGATGAATTATTGTTTTTGAGTTTGGCTGCATTTGTTTCAATCTACGGCTTGTGTTGACGGTCCCTAACTACGTCGATTGTCAATTCCAGCATAAAAGCAATTTAAAGAATAAAAAATGGTATACCAAATTTAGAGGCAGTGGTTATTACTAATCATTTTTATAAGTCTTAGTGAATATTTATATGCAGGTGAATAATGGGTGAAAACCAACCGCCATGCGACGAAAAACACCTCCGAAAAATCGAACGTAAATACATAGATTGGAGGCCCCACATGACAATCAAAACCACCTACCATTGTGCCCAACCAAAGTATAACATGTAGAGGGCCCACCAAGCAGCCTCCCAACTAAAGGTGTGGCTTGGAGGTGGGTCAAAGGGGTCGACCGAACCCAAGGTCGGCCAAATCGCCTTTGCCTCCCTTCGCTATCTGCCAACATGTGGAGCAAGATCATGAAGGTCCAATAACAATTATGTTTGATCCCCGGGATTACACGACCTCCAAACCATTACTACAAGTGGAGTATAATTCATTTACAAAGTTAGGCTACTCTCTAGTAGAGGTAGAATTTAGGAAGAAAGTAATGGGAAGCTCTAGAAGGAGTGCTCCAAATATCGGTATTGACGGTCATTAAGTACCAATTTCGACCACCAACTAGCACAATGCATAAAGGAAAAATTAGTATTTCTTACATGTATACCAATAATAAATAATGTAGTTGTATTAGAATTAGAGAATTAATATGGATGCAGGAATTATACATCAAAGTGAAAGAGAAATGATGCCGGCATGCAAAGAAATACACTTCCGGTGAATCACGTGCGAGCACATGGATTGAGGGGCCCACAAGTCAAGCCAAACCGATGTAAAGTTGGGCCAATCCATGGGAACCATCATAGGTGCCCACCTGTTATCTGCTGGTGAAAGGCGGTGGAGAAAGGCGGCGCTGAGGGTTCGGCCAAAACAACATTGCGACCTCTCATCCTGGCCCTCCACGTGTGGCTCCCTGGATGGCTCCCAATGACAGTTGTGGTTGTTTAACTGCCATACAACCGCCATAAGCCACCTATAAAAGGAGCTCACTCATTTCACTTAGAACACAAACCTCAAGGAGCAAATTCCCTCTTCCATATTGTATTCTCTATAGTTCTAGTAGAGATAAGTCTAGAGGAGCTT